TAGGGCCCTTGCCGTTGGGCAAGGGCATGGCTTCCTTTGTTTGATGTTGCGGCCAGGTGGGTGTAGAGGAAACCGTTTACCCATTTGTTGTTTTGGTTGCAGGTCCAACTTACTTGAGGGTTGGGTTGCAAGATTGGGCCTCAGCAAATAGTGGGAATTTGGAGCTGGGCCAAGTGCGGTAGTTTCAGCAGGTGGAGTTGGGGCTTTTGTCAAGCTTTGGAGCCGGCTCACTAGGATTTTGTCAAAGCTTGGGTTTGTCAAGGCTTGGAGCTAGGTCAACAAAGTGCGGGCAAGGTGAAATTTTGTGCCCCCAAAATGTTTCCATGGGCCTTCCCGTTCGGCAAGTTCCCTTCGAATTCCTTGCTCCATTTTTCATTTTTTTTATTTTTTGGAATAACTTGAAATTGGAATTTCAAATTGTTGCAGGTACAAGGGATTTGGGAGGGAAGGTGAAAGGGTGCTAGGGTTTGCTAGCTATATAAATAGGAACTTGGAGTGGCGAAGACATCACACTTGGAGAATTTGAGAGAGATTTCCAGAAAGTGAGAAGGAGAAAAAGAGATTTCTGGCAAATACCTTGTGGTGGTGTTAGGGCCTAGGTGATTTCCGACGACTTTCCGTGGTGGTGCAAACAAGGTTAGACCTTATTTCCCTTGAATATTTGAATTGAAACTCAACTTTTGGTATGAACATGTTGAAGATTAGGATGAACACCTTGAACATGAGTATGAATATGTTGAACATCCTGAACCTTGAGATGAAGTTGTTGAATGTATGCATCTAGATCAAAAAGCATGTAGATGCCATCCAATTTTGCGTTCTTGTGTTTGGATCCTCCTTGCATGTGCATTAGTTCCTTTTTCTTGTTTTTGAATGTTGTAGATGTCTGAGAGTTCTGATAAAGAAGGTCCTGACCCCCCTGCCTTTGGTGGGGATGAGAGAGTGAAGAGGCTAGTGAGTATGTTTGTTCTGAAGATGAGAGTTCCCAGACAGAGGGTTTGGTATAAGGGCTTATAAAAGCTAGGATGGTAGTTCATGAGGGTGAGATGGCTGGGCCATCAGTAGAGTCTGGGTCAGAGGCATATAGGGAAATGCAGAAGAAGTATAAAGTGTTAGAGGCCAGTGTTGATCGGGTTCTAGCTTTGGCACATACACCGGAGGTGGGCTCGAGCAATCAGACATCACCATCAGGGTCTGTGGGTATAGTCGTGGCTTCAGCTTTAGAGGGGGTGGACATCCGGGTTGGTGTCCCTTTGGCGAAACTGAATACGCTTACAAAAGTAAAGTTGATTGAGCTTCGGACAGATTATAGTATGCCACCCTATGTGGGCCTGAGGTTACCCAGTGCTGCGGATGTAGTGAGATATCCTCCGGAGGGTTCAGTTATGATTTTCACGGATATGTACCAGCATGGCCTCAGACTACCGTTTCATCCTTGGGTACAGATGATGTTGGCCAATTTGGGGTATGCGCCAGGGCAATACAATCCCAACTTTTGGCTGCTTTTGTATGGAGTTTATATTGCTTGGTGGTGGGTTGGGGGAGCCAACATTTGAGTAGCTTATGTACTTGTTTGGGCCTAAAAATTGACACACCCAGCCCAAAGCTTATCAAAGCAAACAAAACTAAACCTGGGCCTCATAGGCCCGTTGTGGTAAAAAGGGGGAAGCCCAGAGACAGGAAACAATCCCACGTGACATCTCTGGGATAAAGAAAAGTCAACAATGGCAACTGTCATAGAAGAAGTGATTGAAAAGTTTATGACATCAAGCCGTTCTGAAAAACACTGAAAAAACTGAAGATCAAAATCCCTCTTACATATATATATATATATATTTAGAGATTTTTTCTTCTATTCTACAGAGAGGGATAAGCAGGAAAGCAGGGAGCTGTCCAGAAAAGAAGTCAAACTAACCATCACGGATGAAATCTCACAAGGGGCAGTTAAAATTGGGAAAATAGATTAGGTTCTTTTTCAAGAAAAACAGGGAAGTGATTGCCTATTTGAGAGCCTATCTGCCAAAACTGATGAAATCCTATTTTCTTTCTTTCCATTAAAAAAGAAAAAAAAGGGGAGATATCTTTTTGCCGCCCAATATTAAGCAGCATCACCCTACTCCAGAGGACTATAAATACAAAGAAAGAGTAGACAACAAAAAAACATTCATCATCCAATCAAACAAAAATCTTACACAAGGAAACCATCGGTCAAATGGACAACTCGAAAATCAACCAAAAAGCCCACTTGAATTTCAAGTGAAACCAGCTTCAGATCAGAATTCCCAAGGCTCAGACTTAAGGAATAAGTCATTCAAAACGAGATTTCTCTCGTTACAAATTTGGTTCAGCAAAAAACCAAGACAGGTAGAGCTTGAGCTTTCCCCAAACATGGAAAACCTCAACAAAATTCACAGTGCAGTCTCTAGCCCCTAAAGCCCTCAAAAACAGTCACTTTTGCCCGCGCAGATTGAGTAAACCGCAGTTCTGCCCACTCAAAAGCTTCACAAAAGCTTGAGGTACATTGAAGCTCTACTAGGATCAACCTTTGGTATCGATTTACAGTTGAAACTTAGCAGTCAAATTGGTCAAAGGTCCAGCCCAGCCCAGGCATGTCCAGTCTAGCCCGGATCAGAACCTTCCATCCCGACAGAAATGGAGTTCCAGCTGTATCTTCATCTCTCTCTAGCATGAGTATTTATTGTTATAGTTTTGTAAAAGGCAGTTCCGCCTAAAAACAGTTTAAATTCCATCAACCATTCTGGCTAGAACAACCTCTTTATACTGAGATAAATTGTTAAAGTCCTCACCAGTCTGAGGCAAGAAAAGAACTTACTTGGGAGATATTCCTCACCCAAATTCACAATCGTTTGTTTGCAGAAATCAGTAACTTGGGGCGCAAGTTATCCATTCCAAACTAAGTCTGCTAGAATTTTTATTACTAGCAGTGGCACGCTCGCACACCAAAGAAAGCTGACTTGTTGACCAGTCTATGGTTCTCAAGGCAGTGGGGAACTTTGCCCTTCCATCAGAGGAGTAAACGCAAAACGGGTAAACAATATTGGTGGAGCAAGGTATTGCTTTCGAGGAGGATAAGAGACGAAAGCTCAACATATTGGACAAGTTTATCCAAGATCAAGCTGATGCTTATGCGTATCAGAAGCAACAAGATAAGGAAGCCCAAGAAGAAAAAATAATGTCCATGGACGTGTCCAAATTTACTCCAAGAAAGAAGAAGTATTGGGGGATAAACAAGATGAAATTATGCAAGAACATGCAGGGGATCAGTAATCTACCATTAATCCTAAAGACAACTCAAGGGACTATTATC